GAAAAATAAAAATCACCGTGTCTTGATTTTTAAGATATTAGGATTATATATAAAATTGTTTAGTTATTTTTAATATATTTTCTTTATGTGATGATTTATTAAGAGTATTTAAATCTTTTTATTATCATTTCTATCATTTTAATTATCAAGAGATCTTAATTTTTTGAAATTTCTTAGCATACATAATAAGTCACACCTTTAAAGAATCAGAAGAAAAAATATCCAAAAATTATACTTGTTTTCAATAAAACACTATGAAAAAAAAGTGAAAACAATCTCTTTTTTACTTTAAAAAGATATTATTTTAATTTTTTTATTTATAAATTATTAAAATAATATAATTCTAAACGCCTTTCTTCCTAACTTTTTACGAAATCAGTTGACAAATATTTTTCTCATTTATTAATTCTAAAAATTTTGCAAAGTAATTTAAAATAAATTTTTTGTTGAACAGGTGAGATTTTTTTGCTTGAACACTATTCCTGGACAGGCTACCAACAAAGTAGAATTTGAGTTTGAGAAGTACTACAGTCGATGGTGATAACACCTCCTGCTCTTTTCGCGGGAAGGATATAGAAAATGCAATCGTCGTGTTTCCAAAGTGTTTATTTTCTTACAATGTGTGGATGAAGATTTTAGCTTGGTGGGGCATTCATACGGTAGTATGCGGCAGCGTGAAGGGTGCTTTTTGCAAGGTACTCAGGGCTAGCATGAAGGACAAAAACTGTTTGGTCCTTTTTTTTATTTTTTGACCGTCCAAATTATAATAGTAGTATTAGTGTCTATCCAAAAGAAAGGAAGGAATGTCGAGCACTGAGATCGACTTGGAGAGCAAGGTGTCCCCATTTTGCTTCTCAAATGAGAAGTGTGACCACTGAATCACATAGTGGTGAGCAAACTGTTTGGTCCTTTTTAATTTATTCATCTCTGTCACTTGGGATTTGTGGGGTTTGAGAAACGGTGACTCTTAAAGGCGTGGAAGCAAATGCTTACAGATTGGTAGAGATGATACAAACAAAGTCTTTTTTGTGGGTAAAAGATAAATTAAATGCACGTGGATTTGCATTGCATGACTGGATGAATTATTTTGACTTGTGTGCTAAAACAATAAATAATTAATTTGAAATAATAGTAAAATATAATGTTTATGAATAAAAATACTTCTTATATTCTAATTTAATAAAAAAAAAGTTTTCTAAGAAAACTATATATTATTGTTAAACCAGAAAAATTATCTGCATCTGTTGACTGTCATAGTAAAAAGATTGAACTTAAAGAGGCAAGGAACTCATATTTTACAGAATCGACTCAAGAAGTTGTTATAAAGATTTCAATCAAATCATTCCAAATCGTTGAGTTACTACGCTCAAAACTGAATGTATTGCTCTGAAGTTACGCTTTTTCCTAGAAGTTACTAATTACAAATTAATTCAGCAGCCAACCAAACAAAAATAAAATGGTAGATGGATAAAGGGATTTGTGTTTTATGATTTAGACTATAATTTAGGTATTAACTAGATTAATATTTATAAAAAAAAATAAAAAAAT